AAAGTAGAGATTTCAAGCTTCAATTTCTTTTTTGAAAAACCTTCCTATCATTATTACTCGCGTAGTTATCGTCATTCGAAGTTTGGTGATTTTTTGACAAATTTTAGGTGTACCGCTTTTTTTTCGACTGAGTGTATATACATCATCAAATCAGTATACATATGTATATTCTTGATTTACTTTCTCAAAGAGGAAATAATTTTGATAAATTAAATCTGAAAATTGTAGTGTAAGAGCACAAAAATATAAGAACATTACAATATATCAATATTTTTTAAATAGAAGCCACCTCTACTAGTTTCACTCCAGTTTTGTGTTATGGCTGCAGGATGTGTAGTAGAAGTATTTATGTATACGTGGCCAGCAGAATTTTTGATGCGTACGGTAAATTACTTGTCATTCAAATTTACTATTTTATTTTGTGCTATTAATTGTAATTTTAAAAATATTTATTATTTTTCCCCAGAACTATGAGGTCGGACATGCAGCATTCAATTTACTCGAAAACAATCATTTGAGTAATTTCATTCAAATATGGCAACTTCTGCAATTTATTATAATGCGATGTCAAGAACCTATAGTGGTTTCAATTCCTTGTCTTATGCCGGAACTATCTTTTAATTATTTTTCAAAAGTAAGATCAAATTTTGAATTGATTTGAAAAAAAATGATTAAAGATACTAATACACATCATCCTTATTACGTATTTAACATTATCAGAAACAATTCCATATTTTTGCAAGTTTTCTATTAATATTTGTTTTCATTATTACTAAATATTTAAACTATGAAATGATAAAATATATCTTTGAAGATAAAAAGATACGAATAAAATTACAATGAAATCTTCATGTATTATCAAATATTTACTTTGTTCTATTTTACAGTATCTTTCGACTATACTCTCCTATTTCACAACACTGCGTGTAATGATGGACGATGGATAAATAAAAGTAAACTGAGTATTGTATACAAATGAAATATACTTGAAACGACCATTTTAAGTCATTAAAAATTGCACTACAAAAAGTTCTTGTATTGCGTTTTTGTTAAAATAGTCAATGTCTTGAATAGTTGTAAAAGTACAATTATTTTACCAGTAAACTGTCATAATTAGTTTGATTTGGCGATGATAGATTTAATTTATTTGTACTTATTATCGCGTAATACCCCAATCAGCGAACAATGTTTTCGAAATCTTTTTTTAATACATACTCTTTATTATTGTTAATTGCATAATTTGTTGTACAAAACTATTATTTCACAATTATTATTCAAGTGTAACAATGATTTAGAGAAAATAGTTAGGTAACATTTTTGAATGTTTATTTAATCTCAATATTATTTATTTCATATTTTATATGTTATATTGATTTTATATTTAACATTAATAAATAATTTAAAATAATACCTTAATAGCACAGTGCATTGGTTAAATATTAGTCCAAGGTTGATTATATTAGAAATCAGGGTTGGGAAGTAACTCGTTAGTTACAATGAAGTTACAGTTACGGTTTTTTTAGTAAATCTAACTTAACTTTGTTACTTTCTCTCCATTTGTAACTATAATTTAACTCAGTTACATTTTTTCGATAACTGGTAACTAATTTCATAGTTTCATTAATAGTAACTTTATATATATTTTAAACTTCTACAGATTACATTAGGCCTTGCATCTGCGCATAAACGCCTTTATCGACGCTTTACAATTTAAATGCAGATTTAATGTTTTTATTTTTATTGCAAGAAAGTAACTGTAAAGTAACTATTCATTACTTTTTTAATAACTGTATCTGTAACGCGTTACTTTTCAGAATTGGTAACTTGTAACTGTAACCAGTTACAGTTTTAGCAAAAAAAACTGTAACTGTAACTAGATACTTTTATAAAGTATCTTCTCAAACCCTGTTAGAAATGCATTGGCCGATATTGTCTAACGTAAAGACAATATGGTTTAGCTTGTCACTTTAAAACTTTTCGCTTATACCCCAAATAGCACAAGGACGTCCTGAAGACGTCCTCAGAATATCCAGGACGGGACGTCAGGACGTTTGGGGACGTCCCATTTTAGTCCCGGGACCTCCTGAGGACATTCTGTGGAACACCCGATGCGCGCCTCATTATATCCTCACGAGGTCCCGAAGACGTCCTCAGAAAGTTCTTCAAGAAGT